ACACACACACACACAGTCACAAAGTCTCTCACACAGACAGATACAGAGAAATACACAGTCACACACAGAGAAAAACAGACACACACAGTTGTATACAGGCCCCTGGAGACGCAGAACAATGGGCGCATTGTCTGGGCTGGCAGCAGCTGGGAAGGAAGGAGCCACAGTGTGGACGGAGGAGGCCATGGGGGTTGCTGTACCCACCCCCTCTTCGCCCCCACAGCATCCTAAGCCTCTTCCCTCTTCCAGAAGGCAGATTCTGCATGGCCCTAGATTTGCTGAGGGATTGGGCTCCCAGAGGCCCCCTCCTCAGCCTCCTGCGATGTCTGGTGGGAGATGCAGGGGCTCCCCTGTGGACCAGGCTCCCTCTGGGGCTCTGGGGACTCAGGGTCCTTTAGCCCTTCTTTCCTCCTGGAATCATCCAGGCAATTTGCCTCTTATCCCCTCACGGCAGTGCCTGGAAATGGGGAGTCTTGGGATCTGCTCTTAGCCTCTGACCCCAACCCCTCCAGGACTTACACACTCTCCATCTGAGCCCTGCCAGCCGGTGCAGGCAGTGCCTGGCAGCATTGTGAGTTCCCTATTGTGGCCGAGACAGAGATGCAGGTCACAACATCCCTCCCTTAGTGGCAGTGGGTGGAGAAGTCACTGTCTTGTGAGTGAGGTGCAGTGGGGCATGGCGCCCCTCCCTGTCCCAAAGCTAGCTCTTCTCGCCTCCCACTCTGACAGGCAGCCCTAAATCTCGACAGCGAAGTCTTCCAGGGGTTTCCTTACAGCCCCCAGCCCATTTCAGCAGATCTCTCTGAACTCTTTCTCTCCCTCAGCTACGGCTGTCTGCTGTGTGCCCTGGGACATGTCACTTTCCCTTTCTGAATGTCAACATCCCAGTCTATAAAATGGGGGAGAGGGGTTCTACTGAAGCTGAGTATTCTGTAGTCTCAGGGTGGGGTGGGGATGGAGGATACAAGAGCAAGTGCTGAATGTAGAAGCCACCTCCGCCCTCCCCCACTCCTCTGTGGTCAGACCTGTAAGGAGTTCCTGATTTCTCAGGCCCTGGGGTGTCTCCATACCTCAGAGTCTCAGGTCTCCCAGGAGGCCTTACCCTAGAAGGGAGGGAGGGAGGGAGAGAGAGAGGGACGTGCTGAGCTGTCCAGGACACAGCCTTGCTTTTGCAACACTTTGCTTCCTCCAGCCCCTACCCCTTCCTCCTGGGGGCTGAGGGCACGCACATCCGGGGCCAGCCAGGACTCTGGGGTTCCCACTGGCCTGTCCAGGGCAGGGGAAGGAGAAGTGGCAGAGGACTAGAGCTGGAGAGTCTCCAGCCACCCCCACCCGGACCCTGCCTCCAGGCTCCCTCACTTTCAGGTAGGGCAGGAGGCTGGGCTGGGCAGCCTTGGGGGCTGCTAAGGGGCTATCCCAGATGTGGAGGGAGACTTGGTGATGCCCCACTCTTCCTCTTCAGGAACTGGAGTGTTTTAAGGGCCAGTTCTGGGGTTTAAGCCCCTTCCTGGCGTTCCTCTCCCTGCTTGGGGGGAGCCCTGATGGAGGGGAGGAGATGTGGGGGGAGAACACCAGACAAGTCAGACAAGTTATGTCAACGTCTCTGAGCTTCAGGCCCCTCAGCTTTCAAATGGGGATGAAGATGCCCTTCGAGGTCACAGGACCACCCTAGACAGGGCTTTGTAATGGGTCCATGCTGAGGGCAGGAGAGACTGAGGGCCAGCTTGTCTGTGAGGGCTCAGCATGACTGGCCAAGGGACGGAGAGGAGAGAGGAGGAGGGGCCTCACTACTCTGACCAGAGTGACCCCGCGGCGGGCCAGGCCCCCCCCCAAGGCGGGCCGGGCTAGGCAGGCAGGGACGTGGGTGGGACCTCTGACTGGCGTCCGGGCCTGAGGGGGCGTAGATCCCAGTGCGGGGGCCCTGCAGCTTCTATGACCACATTCTCTGGAGCGTAACTCAGGACCAGCCGTCTGACGAGTCTGGGCATGTGGGCCCTTCGAGGAGTTCTAGGGGGAGACTGACAGGGGCCGCCAGTGCAGGACCAAGGCGATGGGGACGCCTCCAGGTGCTGGGGCGTCCACCTCGAGAGGTGGGCCGTGAGAGGAGGGGATGATTGCTCTCTCCCCTGTCTTCTAGGAGCCCTCCTCTGCCCAGCTCGCTGAAGGACCCGCCTCTCTCCTTCCCACACCAGACCCCACCTGCCCCTGGTAGTCGTGCGGACTAGGGGGAACCAGACCGCCAGCGTCGCCCACTGCGCAAGTGGGGCCCGCGACCTGAGCCCGCCTCCGCCCCTCGATTGGGCGCTCATTTAAATGTCCGGCCCCGCCCCGAGCTCGGGGCGCATATATAAAGGCGGCTCGGCGGGCGGCGGGCGGCATTCTGGCGCGGAGCGGAGCGGTGGCGGGCGTAGCTCACGGGTCGGGCGCGGAGCGGGGTTGCAGCTCGGTTTTCCTCCGATACCCCTCCCCCTCAGGCGCGAGCCCCACCCCTCCGCTGGCCCGGCCGACCGGGCTGAACTACCCTGCGGCGCGAGCCCGGGGCGGCTCCGGGCGCCCCCCAGCAGACCCCTCCCATCATGGGCAGCCAGAGCTCCAAGGCTCCCCGGGGCGACGTGACCGCCGAGGAGGCAGCAGGCGCCTCCCCCGCTAAGGCCAACGGACAGGTGGGTGCGCTCGGCCCGGCCCGGCCCCATCCTCTCGGCCCTCGCCCCCTCGCCGGCCCTGGGCCGGGGCCGCGCGCTTTGTCCGGCCCGGGACACGCGGCGCCCCCTCCCCCGC